CTGGTCTTGCGAATCCAACCGATGATCCAGTCGGTCCTCGCCTGGCTGATGCCAATCTTTCTCCCAAATGCAAACACCGAGAAGCCGATCCAGCCATGTTCCAGCCCTCCTGCAAACTTGTGCCAGGCAAAGGGAGTACCTAGCACTTGAAGAAGAAGGATGGATGCAAGGATCTTGATTAGCCCATCACCAGACTCTGTGAGCCATATGAGGTCATCCACGTAGCTCAAGAGCACAGTCGGGTCGCCTTGCATGCAGTAATAAATCAGCCTGCCCAAACCCGCCATCAATCTGTACCACCAGTAAGAGGCCGATGCGATCCCGAAAGTCCCCACACAATTGTAGTAGACCTTCTTGGGATTCGCACCACGGCATGCCTGTCGGGGCCAGTCCTTCTCTCTGACCCGATACAACCGATGAGCCCGGCTGATGTCGCCACTCAGCGAGAAGTAAGCGCAAGGAAGAACTTCGAGAGCCGTTTGGAGGTCGGCCCCCGTGGGATACCTCTGAGCATCTCTCACACGAATGGCATCGTTGATGTGTTGGCCGTTGCTTCCATCGTGGACTATCCTCAGCGACCCATCAGGTTTCGGCACGGCCCCCAATGAGGCTACAGACAAGAGGTCTCCGTGACGTGCCCGAGCTTGTTCAAGATCTAGCACAATCATCGCTCCCAAGTCGACCTCCTTGGCCAATTGCTCTTCAAGCTGGATAGGATTGTCTCGGGCTCCGGGGTAGTTCTCGCGGAGGTCCACATCCAAGGGGGTGTCGGCATCTGGATATTTGCGCTGCTTTGTTTTCCGCTCAAACAAGGCCGGAGTGCGCGGCAGCCGCTCGCCCACTCCGATGGGCACGCCCTCGGAGAACGACATCGAGGAAGCAGCGTATTGCCTCCAATCCGGATCCCCAGCCGCCCTCAAGAGCTCCCCGATCACTTCCAACAAGAAAGGTTGCCGAGGGGCGATGAACTCGAGATCCCTCAGTGACCCCCATTCTCTCAGGCGTCCAATCACGAGGCTCCGCATCTCCAGCACCAGTGCCTCCGGAAACGGCGACGATGTAGCCCCTCCCGTAGCCAGGCGGCAGATCTCCTTCCTCACATCCACATGTTTGTGAAGCAACTTAAGGGCATCCTCGAAGATCTGCTTGTGAAGTGCCAGCTCCGTGTGCGTGTCAGAAGTGGGCCTAACCATCTCCCCGGCGAGGCCAGACCATGCCCATCGGAGAAAGCAATCCGCTTGCCGACAAGGGTCGTCTTCAAGGGTGGCCCAGTGCCGAGAACCCCGTCGCCCAGCTTCGCTTTGGGATTGCCATCGACATCTTCTTCGGATGTCGAGCCACCATCGTCCTGGACACCTTCCGCGTCATGCTTAGGCTGCCACCAGTCCTCCTCCTTGGGCACCGCGTCGTCATTGGTGTCCTCCATGAGACGTTTCACGGACCGAGCCAAAGTAGAAGCACCCCGCCGAGCTGGAAGGTTGAAGCCCAAGGCACCCAGCTGCTCCCATTCCGCGGCGGGGAAAGACTCGTTCACGCGGGGTGTATAAGCAACAAGAACTGTCCTCGTCCCTTTCCAAGCCTGGGTGCAGTGCCACACCGAGGGGTCGAAGACGATGTGTCCACCTGAGTCGATCTCCAGCGTGCGGCCTGGACCCAAAGACGGATCAGATGGACATGCCTCCTGACCGCCCCCATCTTGAGTCCAGATGCCTCCGCCCCTGAAGGACGACAGTCCAGCGACCAGGTTCCGGGACCCCCTTTCGTTGCCCGAGTCCCTGTGGGGAGCCGTCTGCAAGTTCCGAAATATTCCCACGGCAGTGAATGTAAAGGAAGCATCCAGGCTCCGCACAAAGTTGCACAAAACCCTAGCGACCCCGGGAAACACCCTGGAATTCCTACGCAACCCGGAGAGGCTGCCGCCCACAGCATATGCACCAATCGCAAATGATTTCGAATCATTCCAAGTGACTCCATCGCGGGCCATGTTCTCGCCCGGGAGCAGCTCAAACATTTCAAGAAGGATGTTGCATGAGACCTCACCCTGACTTTGACATGCTGCCAGAGCCTCGGCCGGATGAACCTGAAGATGTTGCGTTCTCGAGAGTGTCCGAAGAACGAGCTTGCTTCTCCCCCGACCCCGATTCGGAGGACATCGTTTTTTGATGCGTCAGCATCGCTAAGCTGGCCAGAGCTTTGCATAGCTCAGGTGGATAAGCAGCAGTAGGAGCTGTACGAAAGTCCCCATGCTCATCGGTCCCAATGAGAGGGGTGTGCTTGTGACCACAGGTCCGTGACAGGGGACCCCGATAGCGTTGAGCGCGATCCAGGCGGGGCCAGCCGGCAACACCCAGAGTACGCAGACCATGCCAAGTACCAGCCACTCGAGTAGGCTTTCGATGATCAGCACCGTAGGCACATTGATGAAACGCCACTGACGTAGCATGAGTGGCTTGAAAGACTTGCACCGCTTCTTCCCACATCCAGATAGAAGCCGGGGTGCCGGCATCCGTGGCGCCCAGAAACTCGGGATGCTCAAGAAGCCACGGAATGTTCTCTGAGGACGTTAGCGTGGCCAGCGACAGTGCACGACGAACTAACATGGTGCTTGCCTCGGCCTTGGCCTTCAAGGCGCCAGACAGCCACGGAAAGCCCTCGGGCCAATCAGAGTTCCTCAGAGGCGGCGGTCCAGATCGGTTGGAAAACGTAGCCCTGCTGAAAGTAGAGCAGGGCGGACTCATGAAAATTATAGTGAATTCATGACGACGAACCTGATTGAGCAATCTCAACCAGAAGGAATCGGAGAGAACGTCCTGGGCCTCATCGCGTTGGATGTCCACTTCGTGACACCGAAAGGTGAGGCCCGCTGCATGACAAGCATCAGCCAAGCAAGACTTTAAATCAGCACGGCGTGACACTCCTGCAAACAAATAAAGGAGAGAAAAGTCGACGGCAGGAGGAGGTTCGAGTCCTTGAGAGACGTTCTCCTCGGTGTCGTTGTCCTGTGAAAGTCAGTTGTCAGCTTTCGCTGTGTCAGGACGACGGACTTGCCGGCATGAATGGTAAGGATGCTTGCCCATGCACCGCTGACATACGTGAATGAAGCGACACGAAGTGTTTGCACAACCCTCTTTCCGATTGTACTTCCAACAGATGGGCTTGCCATCCGGTGTCTTCATCAGCTTGGCCGCTTTCTTCGCCGGCGGCGTGTCGGCTGCCGAAGGAGCAATGGTACGCTTGCCCGGAGTTCGCAATGGCTTGCCTGCTCGTTCCCACGCCGAAGGTGCAGTGGGTGGAGGAGGCACCGCCCGAAGTGAGAAAGGTATCACGAGATGCCTATTCAGCAGCTCCATGTCATGTGTGGCCTTCGAGAAGGCGTCTTCCAAGGAGAGCGCTTCCCCGTCCCTGATCCACCGGTACACAGCCTTGCGGGCCTCCAGCTCAAAGTTCAGGACCATGCTCCAGGTAGGTGTATGGCCGTCTCCGGCTACTAAGCCGGCCACCTGGGATCCCAAGACATAATCGCTGAACCTCCTCAAGACATCAGTGGTGTTCTTGGACAACCAGGGGCGAAGGGCATGCTTGGTAGCTAAGAAATCCCAGGCAAGGCCGATGCGTCTATGCCGCAGCCTGAGTTCCTCAGGGTTGTCCGGCATACCTGTCAGAGTCTTGCCAGGCTTAATCTTGAGCACGTTGGTTGTAGGATCAATTACAGCCGAATAGGCCTCAAGCTCAGAGTCCTCGAGAGAGGCTACCTCGGTGAGCAGCTCTGCTACCGGCTGATTGTTCTCGATCTGTTCCAACTTTGCGGCCAGCACGGACTTGGCCGGTACCTCTTTGTCCTTCAATTTGCCCACTGCAGCCTCCACTGCCAGCCGCATGGCATGATGCTCGTTGGGTTGGACGAGACGCTGCTGTGTGCCCAGTCGCGCTTCAGCTTTGTTTTTCTCCGAAACTTGAAGATGCAACCTTGAAGCTTCCCATGCAGCAAGCAGGCGAGCCACGTTAAGCCGTTCCGCAACCCCGGCCGTAGGGTCGATGGGAAGCTCGGCAATAAGGGCTGCCCTCACTCGCTCGCGAGACTCATCAAGCCCCGAAAACAAAGCAACGTTGCGAATGCCCAGCTCACCCAGCCTAGCCTGCAGTACTGCGGGCACATCCGCCTGCTCCAGCTGGAAGCGGAGATCTGGTGCCAGGGTCTCCAATTGCCCCTGTTGAACAGCTGTCAGCGCGGGTGGCGCAGCCATGTCGACACACTCCTAGAATCTGAAATGCAAACGTCCTAGCACATGTGACGCATGAGATTCAGAGCTCACAGCCAACTATGCCATCCTTGAGACCCGGATGCGCACGGCCATTTGTGATTGTAAACCGATCCCATCATGCTGATGCGATCACTTGCACACATGAGGCTTGCCAACACTGACACGCCCTCCATTTGTGCAACTCTGGATGGCAGACGCTTCGGTATGCCTAGCCAAGTACCACGGATCGCTCCTGATCCGAGGAATTTCTCATTAGCTGGGGCCTTCTCCCCCAGACATAAATCATGAGTCGCTTGAGCTCCCCTCCGAGGACTGTGCTTCATCCGCCGTGCTGGAAGAGAAATCCTCCGAACTGGAATGATGTGCCTGCACAGAGGAGGAGCCTCGCTCAGGCTTGAAGCACTGCCAGTCATACAACACTCCTTCGAGGGATTCATAGTACTCGCAGTTAGCAACGGAATCAGGAGAAGTGCCGCAGCCTCCTACCCGATGAAGTCGACGCAGCTTCCTTTTGCCCAATACTGACACGAAGAACTTGCATGCACTCTTCCCTTCTACAATCTTCGCAGGCACCGCGAGATCTGAGGGCTTCGGGAGGTTCCCGCCATCGGAATCAAGATGATTCAACCGGAACTCAGCCCATCCCTCCAATGGCCTCAAGAGAAAAACCGCTCGATCAATGACTGAGAGCGCAGGGCCAACGCTTCCCCTCAACAAGGCGCAGGGACGACGCCGCCCCTCCTCTTCCAAACAGGTGGCGCGGGGCCCACGTGCCTGCAGGTGAATTTAG